GGAACTGTACGGGAAGTGGACCAACATTTGCCATTTAACGAGGCACTAGAACTTGTAAAGGCTTCTTAATGGAAGAAAGCTGAATATCAGAAACTGCAACATGTGCAGCACAAATGAGGGAAGTGTAAAACATAACGGCAGGATATCCGGATTTGATTGTCATGAGGGGGTGTGGTGGAAGGGGTCCACCTTTAGATGTGGTCATTCACTGAGCCATTCAAGTGACATGTGCTGCAACTATTGGCAGCAGATATTATTATCACATATGGCATTAGATATAGTACAGGTCTTTTGTTGGCGAAGTGCCCACCCCAGTAAATCTGGTGGTCTTGGTACTGAGACCACTACAAAACACAGACGTTGATCTGCAAAGGTCACATCCAATAAAGATTTCATACAAATATTCTTACTTATATTTGTTATTAATCTCCTTCTTGTGTTGATGAATTCAGATTCTAAATGACAGTGTTCACACAGTTTGTAATTACCATAAAACACACCCAAACATGTCCATATAAGGCTTTTCCTTTTCCTCTCTGTCATCTGTCTTGAACTCTGTTCAAATGTATGCATTAAACCAGGGGTATTTAATTAAAGTCTCTGTTTTTCCTTCCCAGTGAAGGTCCGACCAAAACCTTTTTTGGAACAGTTATACATTTCCATCGAGGCAGTGTGGAAGTTTTTTTCCTGTGAGGTGTACACTCGCAATTGTGAGATTAAAAGTCGCAATAACCTTTTTTTCTGTGGTGGAAACAAGCTTCCAGCAGACCTCAAGTACTTCTTTGAAAATATATGTCGAAAAAAATCTTACCGACCCCAAACTGCTGAACAGCCAACGCATTCTTATCCCAAGGCGTCATATTTTTGCCAATGCGTAGACATCCAACACACATGACATTCCCTGTCCTGGTACATCTCTGGAACTCCCAGAAGATTGATTTCGGGGACAGACAAGAACGGTTTGACCTAAAAATATCACAAAAGAAAATACTGTGGAAACAAAGACACCTACATCTTGGATGCCCTAAAATATATCAAAAATTAATTTCAAAGTGAACTATCCCTTTAAAGGAATAGGTTTGTTCACTTAAAGATGAAACAACATGTTCAAACAACAGGTGTAAAACAACTTGAGGGTGTATAAATGATAACATCATCTTCTTTTTCCAAGTTAACTATACCTTTAAAATTGTAAGGCAGTGACTTTTTTTGTCAGTGAAGAGACACTAGCGACTGACACTATAGAGCCTGTTTGCTCCCATGCTGATTGACACTGGTTTAAATCAAAAGCAGAGACCCAGCTGTGAGTGTTGACACTGAGTGGATCAAACAATTAGTGCAGTCAGTTTTAGGCACATGCACGTATAACGGACGGCAGGTAAATTCCCCCTGCCTCTGCAAAGAAGGGCAGTTACCTTGGTGCCGTGACCCGGGTGAAATGTGGGTTAAGGGGTGAGTGTCAGCTGGTAGAAGCAGTGAAGGTAAACCTCACCCCTGGCCATCAAGAGACATACTTGTGACTGGCATTAAAGGTCGCATCCTTGCTATGGTCCTCAATTGCCTTACTGGTTGACATCAACTTCAGATCAGGTCAACTTCAGAGTGTTGTGACTTGGACAAGGCCAGCTTTAAAGAGCAATGTTTCTTAACTCAAGTCTTCAGGACCCACCTCCCAAAATGTTTTAGACGTCTCCATATTCGGCACTGTAGGAAGCTGATGAGTTGAACCAGATGTTTTAATTATTGAAACATCTAAAACATTATGGAAGGTGGGTCCTCAGGACTGGAGTTAAGAAACACCGAAAAGAACATGTCCACCTTCCATGCCAGTTGATGCTGGTTTGAATCCCAATCACACTTGGCTTGGTATTTATCTGGATATTGGAAGTCTGGACAAGTACTAGTGGCTTTCTTGTGTAATAATGCAGAGAACCTACTTTTGAAAAGTGACATTCTTTGATATACACTAGTGCCATGCCCTCTTCCTCACCTGCAACTGACCTTGAGTTTACCATATATTTGTAAGATGGAATTTACCCTCTCTAACCATCAGTACAACCACAAAACCAATTTACAAAAAGCTACTTGTCACTGATGGAAAATATCTAGCGACAAGCTTGAAAATGTCAACTAGGTGTAGTTTCCCTGTCCTGGTACACCTCTGGAACTCCCAGAAGATTGATTTCGGGGACTGACCACCACATGGCCACACGACCACCCGTCTCTCATCGACTACACCAGTGCCCACAGAAAGAGAAAAGTCTCTCGCTCTTCCTGATACGACTGCAGCTGAGAGAGGTTTATAGCACTGTCCAATGAAATACTTGAGGTTAGAAGAGTAAGCACAGATACCACTAACAACAAACAGACAAGAGGCAGTCTGTCTGCGTCAATACAGTGGACTCCACACTTCTGAAAGTAAAGGAGAGAGAGTTCAAACCATGAAAACTCTGGTTAGATGGGACGAAAGGAAAACACAGGGAAAATAGTCCTGAGAAGCACTGATGGAGCGAATTATAAAAATCTGCTGAATCTGCGTGTATTTTTGTTGTTGTTGTATTATATTCATTTTTCTTAATTGGCAAAAAGATAGAAAAGACTCAAATATACAATGATTTATTTAATTATAATATATATAAAATAATGTTTTTATTTAATTAATTATTTAAATTTAATTTAATCTAATTGAATTGAATTACATTTTTGGCATCCATTCACAGAGATAGAAAAAAACAGGAAAGAAAGTAAAGTAACACTTTACAATACGGGTGCACTAATTTGCATTAATTCATGCTTAACTAATGCACAGATAATCATGAGTTAATATATAACTCATAAAGAACTAAACCATTAATTAATGATTACTGCATCAGCAACTAATAAAGAGTCTATATGATTAATAGATTAAGTAACACATGAATTTCTATTAATAATTCAATGTGTCATTGTGTATTAATTCCTTAATAACATATTATATTAACTAATAGTGTAAATTAATTACCACAATTAGTCAAAGCTATGCACTTCAACTTCCAGTTGTCTGCTTTAAATAATCATTAGCTAATAATTTACAAAGGTATCATTATGTTATGACTTTACTTGTTGGGGCACATCATTATTAACTAGTCATTTAGTAATTGTAGTAATTTGTACATGAATTTGCACTAACAATGCAGTAATTAATCATGTATTAATGCATATTAGTGTACCTGTCATATGATCTGGAAGTTGAAATAAAAGGTTGTGGCTCATTCTGGTAATTAACATATTAATTAACACTATTAGTTTAAAAAATGAGTTATAATGGAATTAATCCACAATTACATATTTAATTAATAACAATTCATGTATGAACTAATACATTAACCTTACAGACTCTTAAGTAGTTCCTAATGTGGTACTCATTAATGAATAGCTTAAATAATCATTAGTTATACATTAATTCAGTATTATCTGTGCATTAGTTAAGCATGAATTAATGCGAAAGTAAAATTTGACTTTGATTGCTCAGTGATTGATGTGAGCAAAACTTGAACGTTACTTAAATGAGCAGCATGTTGCAAGCAATAACCAGTACGCCACAGGTCCAACAGTGGTCAGGCATTTAAGGTGTGATATTTACATTTTATATTTAGTTATTTGTTTAAGTGGTAAAATATTTCATAGTATCATCTCTAGGGTGCCAAAAATGTCTGGCTTTTCATCAGATCAAACTATCCTAAGTTTGTCCTTCTTGTGTCCATTTCACAACTGAGGCAGATATTGACTGAGCTGTCCTCTTGGCTTGCCATAAGCGACGGTGGGTTTTCAATTCTCCTCTTGTTGTTTATTGCAGAAAGCGTGAGGTAAAATGGAGCCTGCGGCCGGGCCATGGCTCACGTCCATACGGAGGTCCATACGTGTGATGACGGGCCCCGTGGATACAGTCTGTGTGGGGGCCAGAGAGGAGGTTCAGCCTGGGTCCCTTGTGTTTGTTGTTCAGGTCTTGGCTCCACGAAGGCTGGCGGTCAGACAGAACTCTGGGTCACCTGGGCTGTTCTCTGCCAATGACCGGAGCTGTCTGCCCCGGCACAGAAGCCCCAGAGGGGCTCTTCCAACACTATCTCACGACCAATTCGTACGAATTCGACGCATGATTAAAAAGTGTCTAATTCGTACTAATTCGTACGACCTCACTCGTACGAATTTGTACGATTTGTCTAAACCCACGTGATGGTTAGGTTAAGGGGCGGGGTCAGGGGTAGGTCATTCGTACGAATTCATACGAATTGGCCAATTCGTAAAATATGTACGATTTAGCAAAATCGTATTAATTCGAACGAGTGAGGTCGTATGAATTGTTACGAATTAGCCACTTTTTAATCATTCGTCGAATTCGTACGATTTGGTCGTGAGATCGGGTTGGCTCTTCTTAAGACAGACCTGAAACCACACACATGACTAATAGCTCTGAGCTTTAGGAGGCTCTGTGGAACTTTGGTGTGAAGAGCAGTTGACCTCAGGGAGATGGCGAGAGCTGTAGACGTTTTCTCAATCATTTATTTTCCCAAAAATCAAACTGTCCCCAAGCAAGGCTCCAAAATGGGCCTCATACACTCATTTATCTGACAAACCTGACGCTGAAATCCTTATAAAAAGCAGTGGATACCACAAGGACACGCATGAGACTACGGCTTCTGTTTTGTTCAACTCTGTTGGTTTAAAGGGTCTCTGTGTTTAAAAAAAATGAAGCAAAACATGGAAACAAGACAGTTGAAAAGGTCTGTGTTCCTCTTTTGATCCTCCTGCACTGCGAGAAAGAAAAAGAAAGCGACCACCAGTCAGCCTCGTTTCCAATCCTCACAGATTAGAGTTGCCTGTTTTAAACGTCTTATTATTCCAGTCTCTTTGTCCCAGTCCCCCTTCCCTAATTAGCGCCTGTTCTCTTTCATTCCCCGTCGTGTCTTGTTTCCACCTGTGACATAAAGAGAAATTGTAAAAAAAAAAAGAGGAAAGAATGGTGGAATGAAGATGAGAAAGGCAAAGCGCTTGGCCCCACAACGCAAGAGCGGAGGGGAGGATGAAGGAGCTTGTCATGTCTCATCTGCGCTTGGATCCAGAGACGCGCAGCATGGAAACACACACAGACTTGCGCTTCTGTGCAACGCAGATGCCTTTGAAAGAAGAAAGCGATGTGGAGAAATGAAACGGGGAGGGAGAGAGAAGCACAGGTTTCAATGCAGTGTTGGGTATAATTCAAACATAGAAGTGTCCTAATGAGTCTCAACTTTCTGGTAGGGCATCTGAAATATTGAAAGCACTGCACAAACATAAAATCAAAATAATTTGCTCTGTTTACTTCCTTAAAATGTGTTTCTTTTGTTATTGTGCACATTCTCGCATTATTGTTCATTCTCGCATTTTATTCCAAAGAATTTTTTTTTTTAATTTGAAACCTGAATGCCTTTCATTAACTAACCCTTGTATGTTTTCAACAGCTTCCCCCCCAAACACCCATCATTTAGAGAGCACTTTTTCACAGTACAAACATTGGTCTGCCATATTGATAAATGTTCACTTTTAGCCATTAAATCATTGTGTAAAGTCATTGTTCGTACAATTTGCAACACCCCACTGAGGGTTAAACTAAAAAATTAGATGATCAATAAGTTATGACAACATATGTTTTTACAGAAATAATCAAAATATGTAAAGCAATTTTTTTTTTTTTTTTTACTTTTTTGTAAGTTAAACAAGATTCAACTCCTTTTTGAAATCAGTTAAATGTAATTAGGTTGAAATGACTTAAACATCCAAGTTGAGGCAACTTTTTTTTCACAGTGGGGTTTGGACCTTTATGGGTTTTTTTTTTTCAGCCTTTCTATCCAAAACTTGTATATACCACCGTAATTTAATGCCAGTTAATGTGAAGGTGTATGCAATACTCGCAAACTCATTTTAGACATAAGAGTTGTTCACTATTGAAAAAAACTTTTGCTGATAATTTACTCACCCCCATGTCATCCAAGATGTCCATGTCATTTTTTATTCAGTCGAAAAGAAATTAAGGTTTTTGATGAAAATATTGCAGGATTTTTCTCCATATAATGGACTTCAGTGGGAACCAAATGGTTCAAGGTCCAAAAGACAGTTTCAGTGCAAACTGTTCAAAGGGCTTTAAACGATTCTAGACGATTAATAAGGGTCTTATCAAGCGAAACGATCACTCATTTAAAAAAAAATGAACAAAGTTTAAGTTTTATAAGCTCAAATGCTCGCTTTTCTCTGTTCTGTGACGCACTTTTGTGACTCTCCTGTTCAAAACGATCGAATTGACTCGGAAAAAGATTTGTTCATTTTGATGAACGAGTCCGAACAGGAGATTATTTATTTTTGTTATTTATTTTTAAATGAGCGATCATTTCGCTTGATAAGACCCTTATTTATCGTCTGGAATGGTTTAAAGCCCTTTGAACAGTTTGCAATTTGTACTGAAACTGTCTTTTGGACCTTGAACCGTTTGGTTCCCATTGAAGTCCATTATATGGAGAAAAATGCTGGAACGTTTTCATCAAAAACCTTAATTTCTTTTTGACTAAAGAAAGAAAGACATGGACATCTTGGATGACATGGGGGTGAGTAAATTATCAGCAAAAGTTTTCAAAAGTGAACTACTCCTTTAAGGTCCACATGACGATGATATGAAATTATCTATTTCAACGTGAGACAAATGCTTTCCAAAGACATTAATAAACAGGACTCACTGAGTGATAATTCAAATAATAATTTAAATTTGGTTTATATGCAGTGTTGAGAAAGCAAGCATACCACCAAATCAACCCGGTCTCATCCCAAATCGTCATATAACTGACGTTTTGGGACGTCTTTTGACCATACGTCAATATTCGCCTTTTTAGGGCCCCCTTAAACGTCGGTAGATGAGGTTATGGGATCCTAACTCTACCCCATACCTAAACTTAACCCTAAACCTAACCCGTCACCTAACTGACGTTAAAGGTAAAGCGTCAGTTGTATGACGGCCCGGGATCGCCATCTACCGACGTTTAAGGGGGCCCTAAAAAGGCGGATATTGACGTATGGTCAAAATACGTCCCAAAACGTCAGTTATATGACGATTTGGGATGAGACTGTGTTAACCAAATTGATGGGAAATGTAGAGTTTATACTGAACCTTTTATCCTGCCATTTGTCTTAATAGTGTGAAACCTGTGTGGGGTATTTTTTTACCCTCACGTGAAATTCCAAATCCACATGTAATTTTTATTGAAATGACTGGATTTCACCTAAAAAAAACCTTCATAGAACAACGTTAAGTTTACCCCAGTAAATGGCGACAACTGACTTTCTTCATGAGTGAGGCAATGAATCATTATCTGATTAATGAAAAATGCCGATTAATACAACTTAACAGCTGACAGTATTTATGAGTGAGTCAACCCTAACCATTGTTTCATTCAGGAACGTCATACTCTGTATAGTGATTATTCTGTGAGTTCATTTGAAACTACTTTCATTGGCTGAGCAAAAGTATCCGTCAATATTCTGTCTAAAACATACATTTTCAATGTGAAGTTTTAGTTAATAAACTGTTGTATAAAAGCAATCTTACAGTTATGTTTACAGTTTTGTACTGATAAGGTATTAAATTGTGCAATATACATTTAGATTTGACTGTCATGAACTGTAATGCCACAGTTGAGGATCCAAATATGCAGCAAATCCAAATATTGGGGCAATCCAGAATCATAATTCATAAAACAGGCAATAGATCAAAACATATAAACCAAAGAGACCACAGGGTTGAAAAACACAGGGAAATCTGGGAAACTGGGCAGGAAGTCAAAACCAAAACACAGGCCACCAGAGGGAGAACACTCAGAAAGACAGTGCGACACTTACTAGACTTCACAACGAATGAGTGAAAACACAGCTTAAATAGGCCGGCATTAAAGCTACACTGTGTGATTTTTACCCCCATCTAGTGGTGAAAAGGTATATGACCATCCAGTGAATATTAGTTTCTGTTCCTCTCAATTCCGATTTCGTTTTAACTCCTACGGTGGCCAATGTAGTCCAAGATTAACATGGTTTCCAGTTCGACCTTGTCCATGAGTGTTAACTCAAACGTAAATGCGAAAGGCGAAGCTTGAATTAACGGGTATGTCCCTCTTTGGCTAATGTACTTTCAAGATGGAGGGGCAACATGGCGACCGACATTAGAACCCCTTACCCGTATGTATTTTCAATGGCATATTATACACTCACAAGAATACTTTATTGAACGAAGTAAGTATACATTAATGAGCCCATATATTTTTGAAAGAACTAAGTGTTTTAGCTAAGAATAAACTAAAAGAGTTACACAGTGTAGCTTAAGTCCAGGCAATGGGTTATGGGAAATGCAGTTCATGATACCCCATGGAGTCGGGAGGATGTGACATTGACATAACGTATGACCTCCAAGTGGCTGTCTGTAGCTTTTTGAACTTTACAAAAAAGCAGACGGGACAGCCACATTAAATAATAATCTCACCATCTATACCAAATAACAGGCCTGAACGCTGCATAATGCATTCACTGAGGTTCCATAAACTGTTATTTCAACTCAAATGTTGCTGACTCACAGCATTTATAAATGTTTTTACTATTCATAAGCATGTTGTATAAGCAGATCACAACCTCCTTGAGTCATGCCTTTAAATAAAGTGATTCTGTTTAACACTGACCGGTTTGTGGGGCCTTGTGGCAGTGGGCCAGTGTAACTGGGTGTAAAAACCCAGAAAGAGAGAGTCGGGCCATGGCACTGACATTCCTGGCTGTTTTTGCCAGCCGCTGGCCTGGGGCCAGTGCATGCGGTCAGGCCATGTTTACATCTGTCTGGGCTTCAAGCAGCCACAGGTCTCAGAACAGCGCAGTGGATCGAGACAGGGCAGGGAACGACAGCCAGACAGTAAACATCAACCATACGCTGATGAACGTGTTGAAATCCAGCGGCCAAGGACGTTGCTCCTCAACCCTTCTGGTTTATTTTTCCTCTGGTTTATTGATTATTATTTCTGGTTTGAGCTTGCAAACGGATGCAGAACGAATGTGTAAGATTTGTGTTGATGCATGTCATGCGTTCATACCTGGAATTCAGTTCTATGTGTGTTCGTTAAACAATGGCGAAAGGGGAAAGAGAGAGACAGAAAGAAGTATAATGTGTTATTTGAGTGTTAAAGCAACAGTTCGCCAAAAAAAAAAAAAAAGACCTACAAGACCTCCAAATCCATACAAAACACAAAAAGAGGAATTTGAAGAATCTTCCCAAGGCTCTTTTATATGTTTTTATGTCTGTCAAGATTTTAAAAAGCACCATAAAAATAGTCGAAGTGACTATTATTCACATGAAATATTGACGTCAATGACTCCAATATTCACCACCGGTTATTGCAAGTTTTGTAACCTTACATAGTATTTGATTTTGGGGAAAGATTTTCAGATTTTCATTTTGTTTCTTCACAGATATCAGAAGACTTCATGAGTCGTATGTTACGATTCTCTTTGGCGCTCAATGGATATGGAAAAAGGCAGCATGAAGATTCTTCGAAAATTCTCTTTTTTGTTTTCCCAACAGCATTCGGTTTGCTATGAGACTCTCTGGGTTTAGGATAAAAGGGAAAGGCAGATATAAAATAAAATTAGAATTATTAGAGGTTTAAAAAAAAAGTTTGTTCATCTTATTTCCATAGAGACCTGAGGGAAAGCGCAAGAGGAAGCGGAGGGAGGGTGGGATGGGGGGCAGATGACTAAGATGAGGCGAGGCATCATTTCTTTAGCTTTCTGTGATTCATCTGGGGAAATGATATCCACAGCGGATCAGAAGCCAGAGAATGATAGAAGAGCGGCATGAAGGGAAAAAAAAAATAAACGATTAGAACAAAGCCGCAAAAACAAAAGCGAGACTGTCCAAGATTTTGATTCTCTCTCACACCTTTTAACTTTTATTTATCACTCCATGTTTTCCATTTCTCACTTCTGTATCACTTGGACTTATTTCTTGCACTTTGTTCACTCAGTTTTTTTTTTTTTTTGAAACAAGAAAAAAAAACTATAGTTTAACACTTTGTAAAGAAAACTTGAATGGTACTTATCCATACAAGAGTTGCCAACATGATGCTTTGGTGTGTGTCGCAGTATTTTATGTTGCTAGGGTGTTCTGGATGGCTCTTTCTATTCTGCTCTTAAAGTGGTGTTATAATGTCCTTTTCACAAGGTGTAAAAGATATCTCTGATGTCCCCAGAGTGTGTAAGTGAAGTTTTAGCTCAAAATATAGGGTCTGAGTCCACCTTTGTCGAGTCCAAGTCCGAGACCAAAGAGGGCCAAGTCGGACTTGAGTTCGAGTCCGAGTCGAGTCCGGCCGAGTCCATAAAAATTTAAATGATTTTAAATTGACAAAGACCCACCCCTCTTAGTTACTGTTGCTACGTCCGACAAGCCGTTCCGTTCTCACTCCACATGTTCTCACACAGCCCATTCTCACCCCCAAGGCGTACTTAACTGACGCCTTGGGAAGAATTTGGACATGCTTCAATATCTGACGCTTTAGGCGCCCTTTAGCGTCAGTAAGATGACGCCCTAGGATCGTGTGTACCCTACCCCCACCCCACACCTAAACCTAACCGCGTCCTCTAACACAGTGTTTCCCAAACTTTTTTTCTGGCGACCCACATTTTAAAGTCGATAAATCCTTGTGACCCAAAAAACATTAGGCCCATATAGTTCATATATCACGAAGAGAATTTATGCATTAACAAAATATGTATGACCATTTTTTAAGGTCATTTTTTAAGCTTCCAGTTAACTATTTAAAAGAGATACAGATATTTGACAAAGCACTTTTTTTGTTTAACCTGTTGTTGACAATATGCAGAGGTGAAATGAGAAAGGAAAAGTTGACAGGGCATCTCATTGTTTTCATATTCTCATAGTTACAGTGTACATAATTTATTATAATAATTATTATAGGCTTAAATTAAAATATTCTGACACTGAGACTTTGTAACCATGCATGGCTCACTACCACTGCATAAAAATGCCTAAACAGGCACAAAAAAAAAAAAACTACACACACGATTAAATACATATTCCTCTACCCCCCTAATAAATCTAAGGCAATATAAATGACTATAACATAGCATTCAATATAAATATTCCACATTTATGCCCAAACCATGGTAAATTATTACATTCAGGCTATTACATGGTAAATGTTTGTAAGGGGGGTGATTAGGGCATTTAGTCTTCTAACTTTATTCATGTTTCTTCTATTTTTCTCATCAGTAGTGTTGGGAATGTTAAGACTGTTTCATCCGATTTAAAACTAGTTAAAATCATTGAGTGATGTGTGGTTTGTAAGAGAGAGGAGTACGTGTCCGACGCTTCTTAAAGGATGTCGCGCAACGTTGTTTAATAATAGTGTCCGGGACCGGGAGTAAACTCAACTCCTTTAAGCTTTGCGTTTCGTTATCCACTGGGCCGTGCTGCCTAGTTCAAAGTAAACTAGTGAAACGACTGAAACCAGCGCTATTTTGTTCTCTATTTGTTGTTACTTACCGAGAAACCGCTTCAGGTGAACAAATCCGAATCGTTTCAGACCGTTATGCACGCGCGTTTGGCCAATGGCCAATTCATGGAAAGGAAATAATCAAACCAACGAATGATTATTATCGCTGGTTCAGTCGACAGAAATACGGGACACACATAAAAACTGCTGAAATATTCGGACTGTAAACTTTTCTCTCAGGTCAGTCGGAGTGCTCATGGTACACACACAGTGCGTGCGTGTAGTCATCCAGCTGCACGCGCCACTGCATCCACGCGCACATCTAACCAAATTTAGCCGCGCGGCACCACCAGAAAATAGGAGGAGAGGGAGGTTGGGGTGCCCTCGGCCATATGGAGATGATTGGCGGGCCGCACTTGGCCCGCGGGCCGCCAATTGAATAGCCCATATCTAGAGAGTAGCCTACAACACACTGAAAAATAGTGCTCGACTTGGCGACCCAGAAAAAATCTCCCGCGACCCACGTGTGGGTCGGGACCCCGACTTTGGGAATGACTGCTCTAACAGACGCTTTCCTTTAGTGTCAGTTAGATGACGCCGTAGGATCGCGTCATGTAAGTGACGCTAAAGGGCGCCTAAAACGTCAAATATTGAAGCATGGTCAAAGGTGACGCCTTGGGGTGAGAATGCGTTGTCTCACACACACACACACACACACACACAAAAAGAAATAGAGAGAGAAAAATATATTGAGGAGCAAAGAGAAAAAAGGTATTTGCAAGGTAATGCTCAAGAATGCAACACGATGCATTAAGAGCCAGGGGTACACTTTTGAGCAAGATGATGTGATGTTTAAATTTTTATTATTTTGTTTTACATGCTAATATCTTTTTCAGCCTCTGAAGGGCAGGACTAAATTAATTATTTGTATTTTTTTTTTTACAAATTTACACCAATTTACATCCAGTTCCAACAATTACAAAAAAAAAAAACAAAAAAAAAAAAAAAAAAACATTACCATTCAGGTAATGACACACAATATTAAAATCAAGAAATTTCTCTTGGATTTTGTGTTTGTATTTTGTCTTGTGGACTAGGCTATTAAACATATGTTATGTTTAAATTAAAAGCTTTTTCAGTACTGAATAGAAACAATGTTTTTATGATCATATTAATAAAAAAAATACATTTTGGAGATTCTGAAATGTAAATTTATGACTTAAGTCTAAATGTAAAAAAAAAAAATCATGCAATAGTTAGTCACCAAAATGTTGCTATGGTTACTGTCAATCATCACAATTTCATGACTCACAGGACTCAATTTAGCAGATTCACTCCCACATTTAACTGCATTTATCACTCTTTTTAATTTACATGTTGACTCTAAAATGCCTCTGATTTGCCACTGCGTTCATGCGCTTAATATACATGTCTGTGATTGGCTACAATGCTCCACGCGGAAACAACACAAGTAGTTTCGTTTCATTTTTGAATAATGTGTCCTACAGTGCCTGGACTCGACTGGACTGACATTTTTTCCGAGTCTAAAATGTCCGAGTGCGTGACAAGTCAGAGTTCATTTAAAATTGGACTCGAATCCGGACTCGTGTCCGAGTTAGAGTACCCCAACTCTTCAAAATACCCCACAGATATTTTTATAGCATGTTAAAGTTGACACTTTTTGAGCAAAAAAAACACCTTGTTTTGTGTGTGTCCCTTTAAATGCAAATGAGCTGCTGCTCCCGGCACAGTGGGCGGAGCTTCAAAAGCTTGTGTCCTTTTAACTCACACACACAGGCACTGAAAATTTCAAAAACTTTTACGTTCAAACCGGAGTAAGACAATGATGAAAGACAAAAGAGAAGTGACAACATGTAGAAAGCAACAGGACATTTCTAAATGGTTAGTTGATGAATTTATGTAGCTTATGTGTAGTTATTTTCTATTCATTGATTAGCATATTCTGTCTTCATAATCTATTAAATCGTATTCCGGGGCGGGGTTTATGTAAATTTTAGGGTTAGTGATGTCACTAACCTGGGAGGAAGCTTGTGTAGTTCCTACCAGCCGTTTGTTGTAGTCCTTAAAAAACGATTTCTTTAAAAGCAAATATCTTCCTTTGCTTTTAACTTTGAGTGTTGTAACTTTATAGATGTTGTTTATGCTCAAACAGCAACATTACCCACTAACTAGAAAAGTGAAATCATAATCAGCCACCCCTTCAACAGTAGCAAGGTTTGTATTTTGTATTTGAACTTCTGTTTTTGCAGTAGCTCTGTATATTTCTATGGCATCACTGTCGAAGAGTAATTAAGCTGGTGAAGTGGATTTACTTATTGTAGAGGTAACAAAAGTTCATAAATCCATAAGATCTTACCTTCATGCTGACCGAACACGAGTGCAGCGCTGAAAATGGGCGAAGCAAAGTTCTAGAAAGAATGGAAAGGTTTCAAAGATGTTAAAAGTTCTTGATGGAACCATAGGTGCACATAAGTGAAGTTCACAATGTAATTTCGGGAGGAGTGAACCCATCTAATCTTTCAATTAACTGCTGGAGCACATAGGCAGCCGCTCACCTTGCTCTGGCATCAGCTGTTTTGGGGTCCGTCCCACCTCCCCAACTCCACCAACATAATTTAGGCATATTGCTACCATACTCATCATCTAAGCATTAGTAGTCACACTGGGGGGTAAATCTAAGCTTGAGTTTGTCACAGGTGTGTGCGGGTAGAAGAAGGCAGACGAGGCAAAATCTCCAATTCAAATAAACTACTCCAAATATTTTCTCACAGGTACAGACAGGCAGGATACAAACACACTCAAACATTTACAATGACCGACAAGGACTGAATAACTGAGCACAAATGAACACTAATGAGGTGAGGACAGGTGACATAGTTGATGATGACGATGAACAGGTGGGTAATTGAGGGATTGAGTTCAGGTGTGAAGACAAGAAGGATTCTGGGTAGTGTAGTGAAGACTAAGACAGACAGGTGCAGATGAAGACTGTGACAGAGTTGAAGCTGCTTCCTCGAGCCCATCCATTACTGACAGCAAACTAAATACGCTTAAAGATTAGATTAAAGATTACATGGGTGAATGAACTCATGAAAGAACCTTTATTTTTTTATTTATTAAAGAAGGAAATCAATTTTTACCTCAAGAATTTGCACAATTTGACGCACAGTATAATTTAAACATGTTTATGTTTAATAAACACTTGTTTACTACTTAGGGTAACACTTTAGAATACGGTTCCTTCGTTAATGAATAACTACACAAGAACCAATGAGTAACACAATATTAACAATCTAGTAACTATTATTAACTAACAAGAAACCTGAAAATATGACTGTGGTTTTTTTAGGGGGTAATCAATTTGGGGGAATTAAAGATGACCAGTGTTTATGAGCTTGATGATCAGAAAATAAGTTGACTATTAAAAAGAACAGATAAACACCAGTTCACAAATAAATAGTTTAAATTGTCACTGCCTTATTATTTTGCATGTTTAAAACACTAACTTGAAGAGTTTTATACTAATTTTTAATAAATAGAACATTAATAACATTAATATTAATGTGTTAATGTAAAAACACAAAATAGAATTGTATTTGGTTTCTTTTTTGATATGATGTATATTTAACCAGGAAAATGTGACAACTTCAAGTGTAGGCTAACTGAGACATGATTTTTATTTTTTTTTTCTTTAATAAATCCAGAACAGAGGACTATTCCTCCTCTTTTCAGATTCAGAACACCACTGAATTTACATGAAATAACTCAGTTACATTTGTTTAATGTTAAAATCTTTATTTTTGACAGATTATTCTTTATACAGCTTTGCAGATCAGCCCAAAACAACTGACATGCATGTAAACTAGCACTAGAGGGCAATATAATACAGTACTGGAGAAAAATAAGGTACCCAGCATGCACAACAAAATCAGTGTACGCTATTTTCAACAGCTTTATATGGTCAACATTAAATAGCATTTTGGAACAATGATTTTGAGGTGAGTTAAAATGTTGATCTTGATGTTTGGATGCGGATCACAAACAGTGATCTACATTACGGCACAGAGATGATGTTTGTCAAACGTGAAACGTTGAGATGTTGGTCTATATACACGCAATTTGACTTCCAACAACAGAGGGCAGTCTGTGTCATAGTCCACCAATGCCCCTGTAAGAAAATCACAAGTTCTTTAAATAACTGTCACTTCTTCTGAATGTTTGAGAGATAATGGAGAAAAAAAAGGCTCTTCAAATAAAAAAAAAATAAAACATTCAACAATCCCGTTCTCTCTGTGACCCTTTCTGCATTTCTGCACCATTCGTGGGTGAAGAGCGCCTCCTCTGGTGACTTCACTCCATTGACAGCTGCACACTGTCTGACTGCGACTGCTGCTGCTGATCATATTTACGAGCTGGGAAGACAACATACAACATTTGAAAATACGACCTACGACGACCTAAGACTGAGTTCATCCTCAGGGATGCTGAAGACTAGTCTATTAAAAACCTGGATTTTTCAACAGTTTAGGAAATGTTTTGCAGATCGAGTTTCTGGCATAGTTCTCATAATATTCACAGGCTTTACATTAAAACACATGTATAGTGACTGAAAGAAATGATACAAATTTTCAAAATGGTAAAGATAGCTTTTTAGGAATAAATACAGGGTTTTGGAGATTGAGGACCTTTTAAATTGCTCTTAAAACACGGAGGAGTTGGAGATGTCCTCCCAGAAGACTAAGAAAAGAGATGATGCTGAATATTAATTTAATGAGAAATTGCACATAAATTTAATGAGAAAGTGCACAAATACATTTAGAGGAAGTCGAAATGTACATGTGTGCAGTAAAAGGCACAATATGTAAAAGTTTTGGATTCAAATATCCAAAAAACAAACACTAAAACAATATTTTTTTGACTTCTGTAGGCTACTTACATTAACAATGTTTAAATCCAGAGAAATCAGCTATTCTGACCAGTGTAACGGCCTATGTCATTGCATCGCCTGTCAATGACCCTCGATTTACGCAGAAACCATTGAAAAAGCTTTGATATATTATGCATTTTATTAGGCAAGTGAGCAACTGTTAGAAAACTTTCAGCAACCGAACAATACTATTATTATTATTATTATTATTATATAGCTAGTTCAACACAGAAGTCTTATTGTATGAATCTCTTGTTTCACTGATTTAGCAAAAGTTATAACATAACATAACTTTCACACATTCAAATGTATTTTAGGAGAAGGTGGATGTTAAACTTTAACTTTAATGGTAATTTTAATCATAAAAGACCTTATGCACCAGAGAAACGTGGGCGCCGTTTTTTGCGGTCACTCTGTATATTTTTATGGCATCGCTGTCAAGGAGTAATTAGCTGGCGAAGTGGATTTACTTATTGTAGAGTTAGCAAAAGTTATCAAGAGCATTGTAATGTTTATCATAAGCATTGTAATGCAGATGTCATAACAAATGTCGACCGGGAAATTTTTTACGAGCAGTTCATTCATACCTATGCAAGATCACTTTGAAAATAGACCGGAAGTCAAAAGACAACGAGCGCAGCGCTGAAAAGGGGCGGGCTAAATAAGGTAAATAAAATATGCATAAACAACAAAGCGAAAGGAGTGGTAGTGGCCGACTGTGGCATATAAGCATGATAAAAACAGCAATGTTAATGTCCAAGGCTCTTGACTCTGCCTTGCTTAATAGTAGGGCTGAACGATTAATTGCATTTGCGATAAAATCGCGATATGATGAAACGCGATTTTGTAATCGCAAGAGCTGCGATTATACTGGTCACGTGACACGCGAGAGAAAAGCAGTCTGCAAGATAAAGCATCAACTTGCCACGCTACGCGGTCTGGCGTCCAGAAAAGAACAGTTTATTGTGTTATTTATTCTCTCCTCTCCTCAACAATCCTGGATCGATTCAGAGAATTTCAGAATCGAGTATGAGCTTATAGTTTTTAAACACAGATGCGTGATGACGCTGCGCGTGCTTTAGAAACGAACCGCGTTCTGAATCTGCTTGCTTTTATTTTCTCGCTCTCTCTCTTCCTCACTCACACACACGACACCGCTCGAACCTTCCAAAACATAGTAACGTTATTTCATAAAGTTCGGGACTGAACCGAATTACAAGGACATTCGCGGGCTTCATTGAACAGGTTTTGCCGCTTTGCTTGATGTTATAACGTTACACTTGCAGTGCGCGTTCTCTCCCGCGGGTATTTTCTTTACAAATGCTTCACAGAGGCATTATTTATGTCTTTTGGAATGCAGTTGGCTTATATATTAAAACCATTAAAATCACTGAGAAGGCTGCTTTCATTTTCAAATACTAACGCGTGCTTTGTGAAGAGCGCTCGTGCATGCGGCCGTGAGCGACTCATTGGTAAATGTACTTGCATGTCAAAATGCTTTTATGACGCGAAATTAATGTAAACACGGTCAGTTATATCTTAAACCAACAGGACAAACCACATTTACAATTTGAAAAGAGATATATGCATTAGTGTGAATGCAGCTTATCGTATTTAAACTGAGGGGAAATCACTCCAGCTCTTGATTGAAAAACATTCAGACAGCCTACTTTTAAATACTGAGACCACTCTTTCTTTATTGCTTGTAATGTTTTTTTTTTGTTTCTCTTTATTTACTAGCTTTTATATTTTGAAGCTATATTATTTTATATAGCCTATTTAAAATTCTTAACATGTAATTGCTTTAATTAAATGTTTTTTTATATATTTATTTTTTAAAGTATGTGTTTTTACACATGTAATTAAATTTTTAAATTAAGTTATTAAGATTAATTAATAAGAAAAAAAGTAGATCGAATCATGAGCTATCTAAAGATTCCCATCCCTACTATACAATTATTTATTGCTTGTCTTTGTCGACTAATACAGAAGGTAAATAACTTTTTTTTTAAATCGCATATTAAATCGCAATCGCAATATTGGCTAAAAAAATCGCAATTAGATTATTTTCCAAAATCGTTCAGCCCTACTTAATAGCATAGTAATGTTAATAAAACTTTAATACATTAGCTCACCAATAACCACGATTTCTGCCTGAGTCCCATCGGACTGCTTTCCATCGGCTGTGGAGGTGAAGACGACAACTCCCATGATTCCACCCTTATTCACGGCAACATCAAACTACGCCTTTGTCATTGTTTTGAAAAAGCGACCTCTAGACAAAACTTACATACTGTGCCTTTAAAATGTAATGGGGTGAAAAAAACATGTAGCCTACATGATGATAAACAAATGAAAAATGTAGTGAGAACACAGTTCGGTAGGGCAGCAATTTAATGCAGCATTACCTGAACTGTGAAGAGTGCTAGACTTGTTTTATTAGTCTTGCTAAAGTGGTGAATAATGCATAATATCCAAATATGCATTATTTTAGGATAAATAATTAGAGTATTGCCAGAAACTAGATATTACCTACCATATCAACTTTTCGAAAGGATAAGATACATACACAGAAAAAATGAGTCCAACCCACCCAGTGAATACATTTCCAGTTGTTGTCTTAGCCGGACTTTCTGCAGACTGTCGTAGAAGTTTGGCTCTGGTGCACTACCGGCTGCTGGTGGAAGCGTAAATATACGCATTATCTTCCTCTTATTTCTTTAAAAAATAAATAAAATAAAGTCAGAAAGAGAGATTATTATGTTAGAGACGTATTATAAGCGCTTTGTGTAAAAGATTTAATCGAGACAGCTTTTACGTGTCATTGTGATCATGTTTACAGGTGCATCATCGTGCGATGATGAATATGAAATTAAATAAATGGAGACTTACTTTCTGGCGTACATAAGCAGGGCGAAACTGACCAAAATAACCAGCAGGTAAACATTAGTGGCCTCATTCCAGGCTTCATGGACTGAATAATCCAGAGATTCCTCATCTGCCATCACCCCATACCCAGCCATAATCACGCGTTTATTAAAATGCAAAAAATATACAGTCTACATATGATGTAAAAATGGATTGTGTCTTATCAGACAGCGACTCCAACAATAACATTTACTTCCGGATAAGCAGAGAGAGTGGCGCAGAGTAAAGTTCAAAATAAAAGTCCCTGCAGAGTGAAACTGTTTGACAGGATTTCGACTTGTATCACTAGCTAATCAAACACTGGTTATCATCTCTTTATGAATGATCACAGAACATGTTGGGGAAACAGATCACAATATTATTCTAGTTATAATAATAATAATAATTTAAGAATAATAACTCTTGCTCTTCACGCGCACACAAATACACTCTTACTTTGACACTGTTTAATGGACTCATGAGAAGGAAGCAGAAGGAAGTCAAATCAAGTCCATAAAATGTTATCATTGGTCGATCGGCAATGAGGCGTGTCAGAGCAAGACTAGCTGATTGGCTGCCCGTTAGAACACGTGACTGTCTATCTCTAAAATAAACACAGAGAGCACCATTGCATGATAAAGTTTAACAATGTCGTTACGAGGTGCTTTTAAGCTTATTCACCGCTCTAATTTTGGAATAATGGTAAGGTTTTTATAAATTAATTAGTTTTATGAACTGTGACGTAACAATAAATTGTTTTAAAGCGTCAATAGTTTCACGCAATACCTGCACCTGTACAGAGTAACCGTTATGTCTTTCTGTAACGTTAATTGCTTGTAATCATAAACACTTTTATTACTCTGTAATTGGAGAACTTGGATTATGACTTCTTCAAGTTGTTTATTAGTATTTTGTGGACGATATTAACGATATCAACGATATTTGCAGTACTCAGTTTCCCAAGCTAGCCGAGTTTGTGTGAAAATAGCAGCTCCTCACACACGACACAGAAGTTCAGAGGACATCAGTCGCTATCCAGTGCCAAACAAGAAGAACCTGCCATTTGACATTGTGGAACTGATGGAGGAGGTTGAACAGAAGGTTTGACCTCACATAAACATTTAAAGAGAGAGTTCAATATTATTTACTTGCTCTAATGTCTTTTAAAACCCATATGGCTCTCAATGACACACACAATATGATGAATTTTGTGTTTCTTGTGTGTCATCTACAGGGAGGGTTTTTGCCTAATGTCTTCAAAGTTCTTGCCCATCGTCCTGATGAATTTCGGGCATTCTTCTCTTATTATAATGCCCTCATGAACAAGGAAAGTGGTACGACCTTTTTTATTCTTGCTTCATTTTAGGAAGTTGTAACTTTTATATTTAATGAATCTACATCTATACAACATTTTATTTTTTTAAATTAGCTTTCAACCGGCGCAAGATTAGGATTTGCTTGAGTAATAAGTGTTCAATATAGGAAAATAATTCTGGAAAGGAATTCTTTTCCTGTAGAATAGGAACGTTTTTAATACGTTTGTAGCCCTCAATCGGGTCACGGGGTCTATACGACCCCAATCAAATTTTACTTAATAAAAAAAAGTTCCCTTCATCTCAGTGGAATAAGATTTTGTGACTTTTCATCCATTATCTATCTATACACACACAAAAAAATGGGCTTGATTTGGTTGTTCTGAAGGTATGTAAAAAAAAAAAAAAAAATTTACACTTCTGGTCTTTGGGGTCAATATGACCCCACATTGAAATGAATGGGAAATGTGAGGAAAATATATATATATATATATTCTTCATGTGTCAAAATAAATAAATAAATCCGGCATAAATCTGACATTTTTACACAGAAATGAAGGCCTAGTATTAGAACATAAATGCAATGTATCATAAAAAATAATATTTCATATGCTAATGGTGTAGTTGAGGAATTGTGTGGTATATGGATACAAAAGTACTTTATATCTCCAAAAACAGAGCATTAATGAATAGATGAGAAGTAAACAAAAAAATATACTTGTATGTTATTTGTATGATTAAAAATGTATATTTTATACTTAATTTTTGTACAATTGTTGGGGTCATATAGACCCCTAAACCCAGAAGTGTAAATGGAAAATCAAGACCATTTGAAGGTTAAAAAAAAAAAACGTTTGTCACATCACAAGACTATTTAAAATGAATAATAAAGGCACAGTAAAAAAATCTGGATGATATAGGTTTTATTGTACTTTTTGTAACAGGTGGTCTGTCTAAAGCAGATCGGGAACTGATCGTTGTTGCGACCAGTGCTCACAATCATTGCTTGTATTGTGTGGTATCCCACAGTGCATTGCACCGCATCTATTCCAAAAAACCCTTGCTGGCTGATCAGGTACCTAAAATTTTAACAAAACCATGTAAAAATAAAAAAGTCAGAGAATCATATAAATAATATGAAATGATGTTGAAAACTGAAAAGTGAGAATTATTATTATGATTATTAGGCATATAATTGACTTTACCGGTATTGTCCTGACCCACAGGTTGCAGTTAATTATGGGGTTGCAGATCTGACCGCCCGTGAGAAAGCCATGCTGGACTTTGCTCTGACCGTCTGCAGGAGTGAAACAATAACTGAAGAACATTTCAGCACCCTGGAGGCTCATGGTTTTGACCGAGAGGATATTTGGGACATTTCTGCCATTGCCGCCTTCTTCGCCCTGTCCAACCGCATGGCCCATCTGACTGACATGAGACCTAACACAGAGTTTTACAACATGGGTAGAGTGCCCAGAGACCAAGCAAAAGCCTCTGATGGGCAGGTCAAGGGTGAATAGACTCATATTAGACTTTGGATCAAAGGTATAATATAACACTAAAAAAACCTCTCAAATAATCATTAAGCTGGTTGTTAAAATCGGGAAAGAAAACAAGTTTCACCCTAAATCTCACCCTAAGTGGCTTCTCTAACACTTTCACTGCTGTTTGCACGTGTAGATTTTGAGTTTTAATAGTTACATTTGTTTCAGTGTTCGTCCTCAAAATTATATCAAAACTTAATGTAAATAAAAAATGCCACAGTTTATATCTCACATTGCAGACTTTATTTCACACAATTGATATAAACTCACAGTTTTGAGTAAAATGGGCTGAATTGCGAGATTTCCATTTAATTTTTTTATTCGGTGGCGGAGACTAGCTTCTATACTGTACAATAAAGAAGTCCTTGTTTATTTAAATTGTTTAGACCTTGGTCGATTACCGGTATATATTAAAAGGAGAGAGAAGATCTGAATATCCACAAAACGGAATGTGGATTAATGGAATGAATTAACATGAATATATTTCTTATACAGTCAGATAATCATCTCATTTATAATGTTTATAAATCACTGCCTTTATTATCTGGGTTACTCTTTATTTTGATAGTCCACTTAGTAACTTTGCAACTACATGTCAACTAACTCTTATTAGAGTAATAGTAGACTGCTGTAGATTTAGGTATATGTAAGGTGGGAGGAGTTGGATCTGGATCCGACTCCTCCCCATGGATTTCATGTTCTGCAGTGAGGACCATCTCGAAACATTTGTGGCAGGACAATGCAAACAAATTTTAATATAAAATGTGAATCCTGTTCCATGCGAGTCTTTTCTGAAGCAAATTTTAGAAGTTAATAAATAATCCCTAATAATGCTACTACCATTTGCTTGAGTGACACCAACTTGGATATTTGTCTTTTCTCTAAAGTACACACTGAACTCTGTTTGATAGGCTTTTAACTCACAGTCTGTACCCTCACATGATTGTTGGTTTGTTGACATTTAAAGAAATTTAAACTAACAGTTTTCTTTGTCTATGTACATGTTAAAATACAATTTAAAAAAAGAATCATACAAAGACTCTTATCTATTTTCACACATGCATGCATTTTCGTACATGTGTCACTTGTGAGGCACGTTAAAAAGAGTCATGAGAATACCCTACTTAATGTTTAAAATAATTTACTAAACTAGTATTTCATGAGAGCACAAGCCAAAACCCAGCCAAAGCCATGTGATCATGTGATCCTGAGAGGTCTCAGGATATCAAAATCAACTCCAGCGTTAATGGGGCAGAACGATACTAGTAATGACAACTAGTTAACTTTCAGGATTAGTTTACTTAAAAAAAAAACTTTTTGCTGATAACTCACCCCCATGTCATCCAAGATGTCCATGTCTTTCTTTCTTCAGTCGAAAAAAGAAATTAAGGTTTTTGATGAAAACATTCCTGGATTTTCTCCATATAATGGACCTCAATAGGTGCCAAACAGTTCAAGGTCCAAATGAGAGTTTCAGTGCAGCTTCAAGAGGCTTTAAATGACACCAGACGATGTTTAAGGGTCTTATCTAGCGAAACGATCGGTCATTTCAAAAATAGATAAAAAAGTTTACATTTTATAAGCACAAATGCTCGCCTTGCTCTGTTCTGTGATGTTCGTTCGTGACTCTCCTTTTCAAACTCTTTCATCAAAATGAACAAATCATTTTTTCGAGTCATTTCGTTCATTCAATGACTCTCAAAAAGATTTGTTCATTTTGATGAACAAGTTCAAACAGGAGAGTCACAAACGCGCATAACAGAACAGAGCAAGGCAAGCATTTTTGCTTATAATTTTCTTAAAGGGATAGTTCAATCCATCTTCTTCCGCTTATCCGGGGCCGGGTCATGGGGCAGCAGTCTAAGCAGAGATGCCCAGACTTCCCTCTCCCTAGACACTTCCTCCAGCTCTTCGGGGGGACATAGTCTCTCCAGCGTGTCCTAGGTGTTCCCCGGGGTCTCCGCCCAGTGCGACATGCCCGGAAACCTCCCCGGGAAGGCGTCAAGGAGGCATCCGGAACAGATGCCCGAGCCACCTCAGCTGACCCCTCTCGGCGTGGAGGAGCAGCGGCTCTACTCTGATCTCCTCCCGAGTGACCGAGCTTCTCACCCTATCTCTAAGGGATCGCCCAGTCACCCTGCGGAGAAAGCTCATTTTGGCCGCCTGTATCCGGGATCTTGTCCTTTCGGTCATGACCCAAATCTCATGACCATAGGTGAGAGTAGGAACATAGACTGACCGGTAAATCGAGAGCTTTGCCTTACGCCTCAGCTCCTTCACCACAACAGACCGGTACATCGACCGCATTACTGCAGAAGCTGCACCGATCTGTTTGTCAATCTCCCGTTCCATCCTTCCCTCACTCGTGAACAAAACCCCAAGAGACTTAAACTCCTCCACTTGAGGAAGGATCTCCCCACCAAACTGAAGTGAGCAAGCCACCCTTTTCCGACTGAGGACCATGACCTCTGATTTGGAGGTGCTGATTTTCATCCCAGCCGCTTCACACTCGGCTGCAAACTGTCCTAGTGCATGCTGAAGGTCCTGGTGTGAGGGGGCCAACACAACAACATCATCCGCAAAAAGCAGAGACGAAATCGCGTGGTCCCCAAACCTGACACCCTCCAACCGGGCCCCTGGCTAGGCTAGAAATTCTGTCCATAAAAATCATGAACAGAACCGATGACAAAGGGCAGCCCTGCCGGAGTCCAACATGAAACGGGAAGAAGTCTGACTTACTACCGGCGATGTGAACCCCAGACCCCAAAGGACCCCAGACCCCATATTCCCGGTGCACCCTCCACAGGCCGCCTCGGGGGACACAGTCGAATGCCTTCTCCAAATCCACAAAACACATGTGAACTGGTTGGGCAAACTCCCATCAATCCTCCAGCACCCTGTAGAGAGTATAGAGCTGGTCCAGTGATCCACGGCCTGTTCCTCCTGAATCCGTGGTTCCATTATCGGCCGTATTCTCCTCTCCAGTACCCTGGTATAGACTTTCCCAGGGAGGCTGAGAAGTGTGATAGTTGTGTCCCCCTGTAGTTGGAACATACACTCCGGTCCCCCTTCTTAAAAAGAGGAACCACCAACCCGGTCTGCGATCCCAGAGGCACTGTCCCCGACCACAACAACCACCTCTCCATGCTGCAGAGGCGTGTCAGCCAAGACAGCCCCACAACATCCAGAGACTTGAGGTATTCAGGGCGGATCTCAACCACCCCGAGTGCCTTGCCACCAAGGAGTTTATTGACTACCTCTGTGACCTCAGCTAGGGTGATGGACGAGTCCACCTCTGAGCCCCCAGCCTCTGCTTCCTCAATAGAAGACGTGACGGCAGGATTGAGGAGATCCTCGAAGTATTCCTTCCACCGTCCAACGACATCCCCAGTTGAGGTCAACAGCCGCCCATCCCCACTGTAAACAGTGTTGGTAGGGGACTGTTTTCCTCTCCTGAGGCGCCTGAAAGTTCCTCCCAATCACGCCCCTCCAGGTGTCACTGTCATTGCCCACGTAAGCGTTGAAGTCCCCCAGTAGAACGACAGAGTCCCCAGTTAGAGCACTTTCCAGCACTCTTCCCAGAGACCTCAAGAAGGCCAGGTACTTTGCACTGCCGTTTGGCCCTTAGGCACACACGACAGTGAGAGACCTATCCCCGACCTGTAGGCGTAGGGAAACGACCCTCTCGTTCATCGGGGTAAACTCCAACACATGGCGGCTGAGCCAACAGCTTTATATAGGCTGTTATATATTGTACCCAAATAATACATTATTAGTTATCGAATTGGCTGCTCAATCACACTTTTTAATCGATCCGAAATTTCAATCTGATTGAAAGGGAAGGTTTCCTTTCATAATCCAATCGAAAGAAGAGAACATAAACACTTAATCGAATTGAAAACTGAAACTAAATGCACTGCGCATATGTGCAATGATGTTCGGAAAGAGCTCCAGCCGGCTCTGAATTGTCAAAAAACCTCTCAAAATGCTGGCTGTGGATGCGAAAAACACAGAAAATCGAACCCGATGCAAATATTTTTATGACGGACGAAACTTTCGGAAGGCGGTGTGCAAGCGTTATTGACATAACATGAGGTCGATTTTTTTTTTTTTTTTTTTTTTACGTGCAAAAATTTCGGATGAGAATTTCGGACTTTGGATTTATTTTTGAAACGACCGATCGTTTCTCTAGATAAGACCCTTATTAATTGTCTGGAATAAACATTGTCGGTTTTTATTAATGATTTATTTACATTTTTGTAATATTACAATTATTTACAAATGATTCACAAACTTTATTACATTCACCATAATTCAATGCCATAAACAGTGTAAACATCACATTTCCCCATTTGTGTCGGGAGATCTAGTTCATCTTCTGGCCTGTAAATCTTCATACTGTAAATGTAAAACACACTGTATCAAAACCATGTGGTACAGCAATTACAAAAGGGTAGCAAGCATATATGATTAAAGGTGATTATTCATAGATTTGAATGTGTGTAAACCATTATACATTTATTTTATGATTTTCTAGTGTCAAGGCCCATTCAGACCACCAATAACAATAAAGTTATCATTCTAAGTATGAAAGAAAGTGCTATAACAGTACAGAGAAAAGACATGGTTGGAATCACTTTCATAACTTTTTTTTTCAGCGGATGAACGATAAAAACATTGACAGCCAATCAGAATCCACCCTGCTTTAAAAAGCTTGGGCGTTTGAAGCGGCAGATGGCAAACCTGCAGCGTGCTTATTGTCAATGGTGTGAACGCTTAAATGGTTATCATTCTAGGTGTGAACGGGCCTTTACTCAAAAATATTCATGATTACCTGATATTCTGGTGGAGGTGCGCTTGGGACTGGACTGTTGTTTGGTAGAAGTGCAGCTGTGACTTGGTCGTAGGTTGGTGGAGGTGCAATTGGTACTGGATTGTAGTTTGGTGGAGATGTAATTGGTACTGGATTGTAGTTTGGTGGAGATGTAATTGGTGGATTGTAGTTTGGTGGAGATGTAATTGGTACTGGATTGTAGTTTGGTGGAGATGTAATTGGTACTGGATTGTAGTTTGGTGGAGATGTAATTGGTACTGGAATGTAGTTTGGTGGATGTGCATTGGAAAATAAACCCCATATTGGCAGAAGTGTAGCTGAGGCTTGGCCACCTGCTGTTGGCATCGTGTACAGGACTGAACCAGGATGTGCCGTTGCAGAACAGTCCGGCTGGCCCATCAGCACAATATTGTTGGCAGGCAAATCGGTATTCATATAACTGACCGTGACAGGTCTTGACTAAGAGAGAACCAACATAACATTTATTATACATCTATTTCATCTTTCATTCATTCAGTTTTTCTCAAGATGAATGTTTTAAGCTCTTGATGATTTTTACCTTTGGTTTACAACAACAGGGACAGAAGGTTGCGGCAACAGCAAGAGAGAAGATTAATATCAGAATATCACATAACAATAGGAGATGGCAGGACAAACTCTGATTGAAAAATAAAGAGACAGTGATTATAATCTAAAATATGAATCAAAAACCTGTTTTCATATCTAAACAGTAAAGGGTGGATTAGTTCCCGGCTATGTTACACTGTTGTAGACTGAAACTTAGACTGTTTTATGGATTGTAGATTTGGAAAAACAAGAATTTACAGTAAATCATTTTAATTTAGACACACACAGATACTGTATGTAACTACTTACAAAAAGGATATGAAAGTGAGAGTATAGGGAGAAAACCGCAACTCCAAAATTTACACAACTGAATATTTTAGAGACTTTTACCTACAAGACAACAAAAAACATAAAATATAAACATAAAATTCCCCATATACCAACTTACTGTATTAAAAAGATTAGCTTGTTGTCAAGCCGGTAAAGTTGACACTTACCAAACGTGGTTTACATGTGATTGCAGCCGATAATATTAGAGCTCCAATTATAATGAACTGCAGAATTGAAATGGAACAAAATATAGTATCTGTTCATTGTATAATGTTGTACTGATATTGAAATGATTGACTTACAACAATTGGTGACCAGAGAAGAAAAAGCCTATCATTCCAGATTGTCAAACCAAGTGCTGATAAACCTATCAAGATTTCCAATATCTGTGATAAAAAAACATTAGAATAATACATTTTAATTCATACACACAAAACACCAGCGAGGCGTTGACTTTATTTAACTTTTACTTACTTTATATAACCAAAATAACAAAGATTAACACATGAGAAGGTAAAGCGCATACAAAGGTAAAGTAAAACTTAAACAAGATGATGATGTCAAGTATGGAAACAACTATAGCAACAGGAACAAGGGGAACAAAGAACAACTCAAACTAAACACGGGAAATTAAAAACATGCGAACAAAGAGTTACAGAAACAAAACAAAATGTTAAAAAAGTGTGTTTTACCCCCACAGCCATTGGCTTGATCCTCAGGAACTTGGAGACGTCATACTGCTGCTGGTAAACTTCAGTGCTCATCATCACATCAGGGGATTTTGGCATCTTTAAACACACAGAGTCTCTTTACATGTCTTCTTTTTCTAATAAGCCAAAGCCTAGTTCCTAGAAACCAAACGTTACTATTCACGCTTTCGTTCCTAAAGCTAGGAATCAAGATTTACCTGAAGAGTTGCTTCAATGTGCAACAATGTGAAAGAGTCACTATGGAGCTAAAGAATGTGAGGCGTACAACATTATCTTTCAATCACACTGACAGCTTTTATTTAACCAGTTTCATGTGTTAAAATAGTTCTGCTCTGTATATCAGCACAGCTGTTTTAGACAATGCTTTTTTCTTTTATACAACAGCTCAGCAAAATATAGAGCAACTGCATGTTTAACTTTGGTTGCTTCTATATCCCAGCCAGGGGTTACCAGATTACCAGTTACCAGACAAGTTCAGATTTGAACTTGTTTTACATTAAAACTTGAAAACTTCAAAAGTGTGTTTCGAGTTCTTTACAATCCAGACGGCCCAAAGTGCACATAGTTAAACCAAGCTCAATGCCACAAGGCTATAGATTGGTGCTGGCCCACCCAAACAACACTACCAGAGTATATCAATGGCCTGGCAAAATAAGCCCAGGCAAAAGAGCCTAGCATGTAATTTATATTGCGGATTTGACTCACTTTTTCAGTGATTATTTCTTTCTGTGAAATAAATGGATGACGGGGAAATTAAACCAAAGACTTCCAGTAACAAGCTACTTTGTCCAATGATTAGCATCACAGTTTTAACGTCACATTTGTAGTAATGGTTTTCCACAGTAGTGATGTTTCGTTCCTGAATAAATCAGTATAGTGAAAGTAATCGCTTAAGTGAATGATTCAATAAAAGATATAAACAGTGTTGTACCTCACATCTCTATTTCCTCTGCTAACCCAACACAGTCTTTACAACTATTGAGAATAGTGCTCAAATATCATTCTAAAGCCCCTTATGCGGTGTGTAAAGGAAACATTTCTGAGCAAAAATAATTCATAAAAATTGAGAGATTGCACGCTTTACCTAATATTGGTGCTGCTCTTGTCTTTGATATTCCAATTTTCATTTTCATTTTCATTCAGAAGGCTTGTATCTGTGTGAAAACAGACTCCTCCCTCTCCCCCTCAGGCAGTGAACATGTCAGAAACTCAAAAATATAGCACAGCACAACACAACAACAAATATATGTAACACGTTTTTCTGTATGGCTTTTTTCTCACATCAATTGTAATATTTCAGTGCACCATATCATTTCATCTAGTCACTATGAAGAATTACAGGATGTTGCAAAAGATCAAAATCTGTAAAAGCATCATCATGTTAACAGACTTTATATATGCTATATGCAGCATATACATGCTATTGCAGATCAGGAAGTGAATAGGCTTTATGCACAACTTACTTCCGCATTCTGTAAAACAGGTCGCATCGCTTCCGGTCCAGGTCTTTTGTATGTGCTTCATGAAATTTTTTGCGGTTTTACTCAAGATAACTTAAAGGGAGCGATCACGTGATGCACGGCATAAAGCCTATTAAGCCCGGTCTACTTTTATCTTCTCACTTCACACTCTCATCAACACCTGCTGCTCTCTGGTCTGAAGTCTCAAAGCTGCCCAAAGACAGAACTCTGATTGCTGATTAAATTCAATTCAAGCCGTCTTCATTATTAATCATGAACAGGATGTGAAATGCTAGGTCATTTACATGCTTCTGTATCTGCAAGCAATCACATCATTACCGCATGGTGTTAACTGATTGGTGATCCTGCAGCCAATGAGATTGCTTACTTAACATTTCAATGGTCGGATTCAGTGTTGTGCTGTATGTTAGTCTTTTTATATTTACTCTGTTAAGGCAAAAATTCAATAAACAGACATCACTTCGTAAGAGACACTCTGAGTCAAATTAATAAAGGGAAAGGTTTATTATTCTTGCAAGAACAATAAGGCTCAGTCACCAACACAGATTACTGCGAAGTGGAGTGACGCCCAGAACACAGGCCGGGGTGAAGACTAAATAGCCCTCCCCAAGGTTATTTACTGCAAGCCGAGCCTTCTCTGTAAATTTCCACAAAGTTATAGGATTCATGATGCCAGGTTAGATTTACTAACCCTCTCAACCCCTCCCAGTCTAAGATGACCCCTGACCCGGCCGGTCCTCTGGTGAGCCTTCTCCACTCCTGATAAGGGAGAACTTCCCCCATCCCATAAGACATTCCTCTGTGGTTACATATAGAAAGTGAACATAATAAGGAAATAATGAGACATAAGATCCAATAATCATATTAATATATGTGAGATTAAAATTTCCACAACAACTCTGAAACCCTCCACCTTCCCCAGCTACACCTGCCAAGATCTATGGGATTTATATACAGTATATATCCATACAGCATATCTAAGGCCCTGTTAACACTTGCTATTAAGATGCGTTTAAGTTGATCGGATTTACAAGTGGACGAGGCTAAATAAAGGTTGGGGTCTAAAATGTTTTGAGAACATGAGACTCAAACTTCAGTCAAAGAATGAGTCAAAAACGCATTCAACCGGATTGCTTTCATAGTGTAAACGCTCATGTGGTTGAATGTGTTCGAACACAAAAGACCCTTTCTCTCCTCCTACTGGCCTAGCTACTGCTTACCAATGTATTTTGCACCATGTATTTTTCCTCTTCCACAGTCAGTGATGCAGGGAGTCTTGTAATTGGTTTTCAAGCCAGCCAGTGGGAATTTAGCAGCCTCATCTCTGATTGGCTGGAATTATGTCATATTGTAACGCTAGGTTGTGTTGAGCACGCGAGCCGTCTGCGCTTCAAGAGCGCTTATAGCTGGTATGAGAGGAATCGAAAAATCAAAATATTTTCTTATCTGCGAGACGAACATTTCTCCGCAAAACTCAGTTCACACGCTTGCAAAATGCCCTTTTTGCATGCTCAAAATTCAATCTTACACGTGCAGAATTGTGACAAAATTTTAACCCCATATATCTGTACCTGTAATTTCATACAGGCCCAAGGCGAGCTACCACCACCAAATCAGGCCACAGCTACTGATAGCTCGCGAGCGACGTGTTGGATACCCCTGCTCTAAAACAATGTGAGAATAATCATTTTGAGCTTGTAATATGTGTTGTGTCTGAACGCGTTCAATGAACGATAGTTCATGAACTCGTTCATATTGTGGGTGAACGTGAACTGAACGTAGCCTACTGTATTACTGCCTGATGAACGTTACAGTGAACTCATTCATTCAAGTGGCTGTGAACCGGGGACCGAGGAGGCATCGTAAAATCATTTAAAAGGCTTTTATGAGGTCGGTGAGGATGGGAAAATCTTACATGTCTGTGCAAACTTTGCCCGTCGATAAAATGATTGTTATCTGTGGTTGTATATGGGCTGTGGCAATAATAATAGCCTAATAATAAAAAAGAAGCTTGCAGCAACATATGGAAAAAAAGAACTAACTAGTTCATTTTTGAAATATGAACTGAACTAGTTCATTTTAAAATTTGTGAACTGAACTTTGAACTAGTTCATGTAATGAACTTGGTCCAACAGATTGATAAGAAGGTTTGCTTTGATATGTGCAAAGTCACTAATTTGCCTGAGACACTATACATGTGTAGAAAGAATTATTTGTATTTCAAAAGCAGTAATTGTTTTTCTAAGTATAATAAAAGGAAATGTGCCTTTTGGGGGAAAAAAACATTCAATATAAAAGTGTTGTATAAAGAAAATAAAAAGCAAATATGACTATCATCACAAAGATGTTGTGTATAAGAAAAAGACAGAAAGTTTGTAAAATTAACTTCAACTGTCAGAAGGACAGCTCATGAAGAACCAATCATGTACAGAAAGGAATGTTCAAATTTAGAGGAACAGTTCAGAAGAAACGTTAATAATAAAGATTGAGAAGATTGGATCAGTTGTGCTCCATTTTTGGAATACTTAAATACAATTTTTTTTTTTTGGAATACTTGATGCGGCCCGGCCTGACCCAGACTCTATCTCCAGCGGCCCCCAGTTAATTTGACTTTGAGACCCCTGCATTAAGCAGTTTGTGTTTCTCGCTCGTTCTCGCTCGTTCTCACTTCTCACGAGACTTCTATTACCAACTTACCGGGACGATAGTCCTAATGTTGCACGGATGGTTTTCCGCCTGGGGACGCTGGGGGAGACCGGGGAAAGCCCCCCATTCTTCACATGCTCGTCCCTGGTAAATGAAAACAAAGTGGCTGAAATATCTTTGCATTGTAGAACACAGCGTCTTCTCGACATGATGCTATGATGAAGTATTTTGTGTAGACTTCAAGTTTACACTTCCGTCTGCGCCCGCAGTAACTGTGCGCGGCCAGTATGTTTCAAAAAAACAAATCAGTTTCAAAAACAATTCATTTCATAAACTCAGAGTCGACTCTCACTTTTGAAAGACAATAACTTTATATACGGTGCACTTTCAGATATAAATCTTTGCAGGATGTTTTCATTCCCTTAGAGCTATTCCACACCATATGAAAAGTCATTTTCAAAAATACATGATGGGGCTCTTCAATCAAATAGATCTCAATCCACATTGACTAAAATACATACTATGGTAGTCAATGGGGAATGAGATCGGTTTGATTAAAACATTCTTCCAAATATCTTTGTGTTTAGCAGAACAAATAAACACATAGAGGTTTGGAACAACATGAGGGTGAGTAAATACTGACAGAATTTTTATTTTTGGGTGAACTAACCCTTTAATATTCTAAGCTAACCTTACAGTACAATTGGAGTGAAAACAGTTTTGTGACTGTTTTCACTCAATACGTTCGGTCTTGTGGCAGTCAGAGCAGAAACAAAATCTGTATCTACCTGATGTTTTTCCGTCGTCTACGGTCGTGTTCATATGTAAATTGCGTGAGCTTTTTGTGGAAATTTTGTGGAAATTGATGAAAGTGGCATGGGAAAAACAGGTTGTGCCCAGAGCATGGCGCAGAGCAGGTGGAGTCTTTATACCTAAAGAAAAAGATGCTACAAGTATCAGTTAGTTTCGTCCTATTTCACTATGCTGATTTTCTTCAGCATTATTGCCCAGAGATTGTCCACCTACCTATTAAAGAATGGCTTCATTGACACTTCAATTCAAAAAGCAGGCATTCCAGGGTTCTCAGGATGCTTAGAACAAATTCAGTCAGCAAAAAAGGAGAGGACGGAGCTCCATATGACATTCCTGGATTTGGCTAATGCATATGGTTTAGTGCCACATGAGCTTCTGTGGGCAGCATTCGTTTTTTTCAGAGTACCAATGTCAATAACAAAGTTAGTGAAAGCCTACTTTTGGACATCTGCAATTCAGTTTCTCAACTCCAAAATTCAGCACTGCATGGAAACGCTTAGCGGTCGGAATAATGGCAGGATGCACCATTTCTCCACTGGCTTTTACTATGGCAATGAAAGTAATCATTAGGGCATCAAGATGGGTAGTAGGTGGAGAGCACTTGGCTTCTGGGATGCGACTACCACCAATCAGAGCAAACATGGACGACATAACAACCATGACTACAACAGTAGCCTGCACTAATCGGGTATTGGGGAAGTTAACAGATAATATTGAATGGGCACGAATGCAATTTAAGCCCTCTAAATCAAGGAGTATCTCGATAATTAAAGGAAAGGTAGTAGATAAAACATTCTTCATTAATGGTGAGGCAATACCAACAGTTTCTGAGAAGCCAGTGAAGAGTCTTGGGAGATGGTACGATGGGGATTTAAGGGACACAGTTCGAGTGGGAGAAGTTAGACGGCAAGCAGTGGAAGGGTTGAAGAGCATAAACAGCTGTGCTCTACCTGGCAAACTAAAACTCTGGTGCTTTCAGTTTGGCCTGCTGCCGAGGTTGCTGTGGCCACTGACTGTGTACGAGGTTTCTTTGACAACAGTGGATAAGCTGGAAGCGTTAATAAGTTCATACATCAGGAAATGGTTGGGAGTTCCACGCTGCCTCAGCAGAGTGGGACTTTATAGTAAAGGAATATTGCAGCTGCCAGTCTCTGCTTTAACCGAGGAGTTTAAGTGTGCCAAGGTCAGGCTGAAAACGACCTTAGTAGAGTCACGTGACAAATGTGTAAGGGAGGCAGCCCCGGTGTTAAAAACTGGTAGAAAGTGGTCAGCAGAGAAATCTGTAGTAGAGGCAAAGGCTGCCCTTCAAATTGGGGATATTGTGGGACAGGTACAGCATGGAAGAGGGGGTTTGAGGCTTAGTGTAGCTCCTCCTAAATGGCACAAGGCAGACCCAGCTCAAAGGAGGAAGCTTGTAGTCAACGAGGTGTGAAAGCAGGAGGAGAGGATGAGGTGTATAAAGGCGAGTGGATGAGATGAGAGAGTGAGGAACAATGCAAGTTGGGCTGGCAAGACCTTTGGTCAATGGAAGAGAGTAGGATCAGTTTCCTTATTAGGTCAACATATGATGTTCTCTCCCATCACCGCAGAACCTAAACCTCTGGGTAGGAGAGGATCCCTCTTGTCCTTTGTGTTCATCACCTGCCAAATTAAGGCACATTCTGACAGAACGTAAGGTGGCTCTTAGCCAAGGTCGGTTTACTTGGTGCCATGACCAAGTACTGCGATGTTTGGCTTTAGCATTGGAGGGCAAGTGTTGTATGACCAATAAGTTGCCGCCTGCAAAACATTACATGCAGAAGACAATATTCCTCCACCCAGGCATGCAACCACCAAGAAAAGGTGTTAACACCAATTCTCGCCCAGGACAACTGGAAACTGCTAGGGACTGGAAGATGCTGGCTGATCTTGATCAACGGCTTATTTTTCCACCTGAGATTGCTACCACTAACTTGAGACCAGATATTGTTTTGTGGTCTGGATCAGCACGCATTGTTCAGCTGATAGAGCTAACAGTGCCATGGGAGGATGCGGTAGATGAAGCATATGAGAGGAAGAAATTGCGGTATGCTCATCTGGCTACTGAGGCAGAGGAGAGGATGGAGAGTCCAGGTTTATCCTGTGGAAGTGGGTTGTCGAGGTTTTGTGGCACACTCTACAACCCGGTTCCTCAGAGACGTTGGATTCAGTGGCCAAGAGTTGCGTCGCACAGTAAAGAACTTATCTGAAGCAGCAGAAAGGAGCAGCAACTGGCTGTGGTTGAGACGGAAAGATTCTATCTGGCTATGTACATGCTGCCACGCTACGGTTTCGTAGAGTTCTTGAAGAGTCTGTTTCTATAGGTTGCATTGAAATTACAGTCAATTACAGTCGACAAAACATTGAGGATGGAAGATGCCCACTTGAAGACCCTAGAGATGTCCCCTACTCGGCTCAATCCAGACGGTTGTCGTGGTGGTCCACTAGGGAGACCACACTGTAGTTGCAGCCGTCGTGTGTGCTGACGCGGCAAGTACACTGCAGCCGTTAACGCCGGACAGAAGGGGAGTTACACCACCATATGGAAAGAAGCGTAAATGGATGGAGAAGCATAGTTTACTGTAAAGCTACATCTTAGCTTACCTTGGCGAAAGCCAAGTATAAATCAGCATGAAGTTTTAACACCTACTCTCGTGTAATGGAAATCATTTCTATTTCGTCATATCTGAAAAAGCCCATACATTTACCCGCCCATAGACCCCTTGAAGAAATCAGGATAGAAGTGGTCGAAAGTGGACAAAAGAGACACAATAAAACACCAGGTGTAAATGAGAATGTTTCTCCATTGTCTACTTGTGATCCGATTGAACAAAACGCATCATAAAACCAGCTGTAAACAGGGCCTTAGATGCTCACAGCAACATGTCTGTGAAGTCCTCCAAAGTCCCAAAAGACTGTCCTCCAAATTCTTATATTTGAACTTGGGAGTCACCAAAGAGGTGTGCTCAGAGGAGCGCAGGGTTCTGACAGGTTCATAGACCATTAATAGTTCTGCGAGGTAGACCGGGCCTACCATTGATGGCCTTGAACACGAACAGCAGAACCTTATACTCCACCCTGAACCACACCGGAAGCCAGTGAAGCGAACGGATGACTTACAAAGGAGACGTGCTGCTGAATTTTGTACCAGTTGAAGCCTATTGAGGAGTAAATGATTAAGTCCAATGTAAAGGGCATTGCAATAGTCTATCCTCGAGCTGATGAAGGCATGAATAGCCTTTTCAAGGTCAGCTCTGGACAGAAATGGTTTGACCTAACTCAAGAGCCTCAACTGGTAAAAGCTTGCCTTCACAACCGCATTGATCTGTACATAGTACTGCACACTCTTGTCTAAAATAACATTATAACAAATAAATATAGTTATGCACAATGGGAGCAAACTGAGGTGTTAGAGGATCGAAATTGGGAGACCCATTAGGTGAGTCTGGGTTGAACAGGATGTACTCAGTCTTTTCTTTATTCAGATGAACTGTTTTAGTTTGATGTCCTGAAGACAGTTATGGAGAGGATCCAGCACAGAATGATTACTCAAAATCACAGGACGGTAAATCTGGATTTTGTCAGCATAGAAATGGAAATTAATGTTGTGATTGAAGATGAGTTGACAAAGTGGCAACATGTACAAAGAAAACAGAATCAGACCGAGAATGGATCCTTGAGGCACACCGGAGGACAGAGAAGCAGGTGAGGAGGAAAAGTCAGTTAGCATTACTGAAAATGTTCTGTTGGTGAGATATGAAGTAAACCATTTAAGCACTGCGCCCTGCAGACTGACATGTTGAAGACGGCAGATGAGAATGGCATGATCCACGGTGTCAAATGCAACCGTCAGGTCCAACACCAATGGTCAGGTCCAGTAACAAAGTGTGTGTGTTTGTGTTTTACATATATTTTAGTTCTTTTTAGTTTTATTACAGATCCTTTTTTTTACGATAAAATGCAGTTAAAGCATGCAATCACTGTTCTGTTTTCATAAATAATTTATTTACATTTTTGTAATATTACAATTATTTACAAATAATTTACAAACTTCTTTTCCATTCACCATAATTCAATGCCATAAACAGTGTAAACATCAAATTTCCTCATTTGTGTCGGAGATCCAGTTCATCTTCTGGCCTGTAAATCTTCATACTGTAAATGTAAAACACACTGTATCAAAACCGTGCGGTACAGCAAATACAAAAGGGTAGCAAGCAAGTATGATTAAAGGTGAAGATTATTCGTAAACCATTATACATTTATTTTCTAATTTTCTAGCATTAAGGCCCATTCAGACGATAAAGTTATCGTTTTAAGTATGAAAGAAAGTGCTATAACGGTACAGAGAAAAGACATGGTTGGAATCACTTTTAGAACTTTTTTTTCAGCTGATAAACAATAAAAACATTGACAGCCAATCAGAATCCATGGTGTTTGACGCAGCAGACGGCAAACCTGCCGCTTGCTTATTGTGCGTTGGTGTGGACGCTTATATAGTTATCATTCTTGGTGTGAACGGGCCTTTACTCAAAAATGCTAATGATTACCTCATATGCTGGTGGAGGCACGCTTGGGACTGGACTGTTGTTTAGTAGAAGTGCAGCTGTGACTTGTTCGTAGGTTGGTGGAGGTGCAATTGGTACTGGATTGTAGTTTGGTGGATGTGCATTGGCAAATAGACCCAACATTGGCAGAAGTGCAGCTGAGGCTTGGCCACCTGCTGTTGGCATCGTGTACAGGACTGAACCAGGATGTGCCGTTGCAGAACAGTCCGGCTGGCCCATCAGCACAATATGGTTGACAGGCAAATCGGTATTCATATAACTGACCGTGACAGGTCTTGACTAAGAGAGAACCAACATAACATTTATTATACATCTATTTCATCTCATTCATTTTTTTTCTCAAGAGGAATGTTTTAAGCTCTTGATGATTTTTACCTTTGGTTTGCAGCAACAGGGACAGAAGGTTGCGGCAACAACAAGAGAGAAGATTGAGATCAGAATATCACATGACATTAGTAGAAAGCAGGACACACCCTGATAAATAAAGAGACAGTGATTATAATCTAAAATATGAATCAAAAACCTGTTTTCATCTAAACAATACAAAGGGTGGATTAAATCCTGGCTATGTTACACTGTTCTAGACTGAAACTTGGACTGTTTTATGAATTGTAGATTTGGAAAAACAAGAATTTACAGTAAATCATTTTAATTTAGACACACACACACACATAGACACTGTACGTAACTACTCACCCAAGTGATATAAAAGTGAGAGCGTAAGGAGAAAGCAGCAACTCCAAAACTTAGATAGCTGAGTATTTGAGAGAATTTTACCTACAAGACAAAAAAACCCATCAATTCCCCATATGCCGATTTATTAAAAAGTTTAGCTTGTTCTCAAGGCACAAAAGTTGACACTTACCAAACGTGATTTACATGTGTGTGCAGCCGATAATGTTAAAGCTCCAATTATAATGAACTGCAGAATTGAAATGGAACAAAATATAGTACCTGTTCATTGTATAATGTTGTACTGATATTGAAATGATTGACTTACAACAATTGGTGACCAGAGAAGAAAAAGCCTGTAATTCCAGATTGTCAAACCAAGTGCTAATAAACCTATCAAGATTTCCAATATCTGTGATAGAAAAACATTAGAATAATACATTTTAATTCATACACACAAAACACCAGCGAGGCGTTGACTTTATTTAACTTTTACTTACTTTATATAACCAAAATAACAAAGATTAACACATGAGAAGGTAAAGCGAACAGGGCATCAAATACAAAGGTAAAGTAAGACAATGATGACAAGTATGGAAACAACTATAGCAACAGGAACCAGGGGAACAAAGAACATCTCAAACTAAACACGGGAAATTAATGTAATGTAAAAAAAAAGTGTGTTTTACCCCCACAGCCATTGGCTTGATCCTCAGGAACTGGGAGACGTCATACTGCTGCTGGTAAACTTCAGTGCTCATCATCACATCAGGGGATTTTGGCATCTTTAAACACACAGAGTCTCTTTACACGTCTTCTCTTTCTAATAAGCCAAAGCCTAGTGCCTAGAAACCAAACGTTACTAATCACGCTTTCATTCCTAAAGCTAGGATTCAAGATTTACCTGAAGAGTTGCTTCCCAACAATGTGAAAGAGTCACTATGGAGCTAAAGAATGTGAGGCGTACAACATCTTTCAGTCACGCTGACAGCTTTTACTTAACCAGTTTCACGTGTTAAAATAGTTCTGCTCTGAATATCAGCACAGCTGCGATTTAGCCACAATGCTTTTACTTTTATACAACAGCTCAACAAGTTAAGTTGATAGAGCAACTGCATGTTTAACTTTGGTTGCTTCTATATCCCAGCCAGGGGTTACCAGATTTGAACTTGTTTTACATTAAAACTTGAAAACTTCAAAAGTGTTTCGAGTCCTTTACAATAGACGGCCCAAAGTGCACATAGTTAAACCAAGGTCAATGCCACAAGGCTAGAGATTGGTGCTGGCCCACCCAAACAACACTAGAGTACTGTATATCAATGGCCTGGCAAAATAAGCCCAGGCAAAAGAGCCTAGCATGTAATTTATAAATTGTACATTATTTCACTCCTGTAACAAATTTACGATGACATTTAATGAAGTATATGGCACCTCCGCTGATCAGCACACATGATTCATTCACATTGTGCGGATTTGACTCACTTTTTGAGTGATTATGTCTTTCTGCGAAAATAAATGGATGACGGGGAAATTAAACCAAAGACTTCCAGTAACAAGCTACTTTGTCCAATGATTAGTGAGTAGCTCAACAATCACATTTGTAGTATTGGTTTACCACCGAGTGTTGAATAACAATTCTCAGCTCTTCATTCTAGTGTATCGGTTTCTCCTACATGAACTTCTCTCTGTTTTACAAAGCATGGAAAGTCTGATTCATCACAGTGGGTCGGTTCATCCTAAACCGTCCTCACTCTCAATTATAACTTTGGAAAATCTTATTAGTTCTGGTAAATCAGTTCGTTCAGATTCTTGTAAATTAACAGATTACAAAAAGATTCTCTGATTTGAGCCTCTACATGCCACGGTTTGTTTATCACCAACGGTCAGAGTTATATTACAGTAATCAGGAAATATTGTAGTAATAGTTAGTGCAAATGTATCTGTTCAGTCCCTAAACTTTTTTTTTGCTCCAGTCTATATTTTGCTTCAAAAACAGTTCCAATCAAAGCTGAATCAAATCGAGAACACCGCCTCAGTAGTGGTGTTTCGTTCCTGAATAAATAAATATTGTTAAAGTAATTGCTTAAGTGAATGATTCACTAAAAGATATAGGCTAAACAGTGTTGTACCTCACGTCTCTATTTCCTCTGCTAACCCAACACAGTCTTTACAACTATTGAGAATAGTGCTCAAATATCATTCTAAAGCCCCTAACACGGTGTGTAAAGGAAACATTTCTGAGCGACAATAATTCATAAAAATTGAGAGATTGCATGCTTTACCTAATATTGGTGCTGCTCTTGTCTTTGATGTTCCAATTTTCATTTTCATTTTCATTCAGAAGGCTTATATCTGTGTGAAAACAGACTCCTCCCTCTCCCCCTCAGGCAGTGAACATGTCAGAAACTCAAACATATAGCACAGCACTACACAAAAAAATACATTTAACACCTTTTTCTGCATGCCTTTTCGTCACATCAATTGCAATATATCAGTACACCACATCATTTCATCTAGTCACTATAAGCATTACAGGATGTTGCAAAAGATCAAAATCTGTAACAGGGTTTATATATGCTATCTTTGCAGGTCAGGAAGTGAATTAAGCCCAGTCTACTTTTATCTTCTCACACCCTGAACGTCACACTCTCAAAGCTATCCAAAGACAGAACTCAGCTGGTGAAATTCAATTCAAGCCGTCTTCATTATTAATCATGGACAGGATGTGAAATGCTAAATATATAGCCAGACGGGATTAAAACTTTGTCAGCTGAAGACCCAAGTTTGGGTTTGACCAAGCACAATGTTCTCACCATTCCTGAATATCTAACACACACTCACAGCATTCAGCGTTCGGTCTTCCGGCCATCAGGCTTTTGCTTTTTTGCTAATATGTAAATTGCGTGAGCTTATTTCGTCATATCTGACAAGGCCCATACATTTACCCGCCCATAGACCCCTTGAAGAAATCAGGACAGAAGTGGTCGAAAGTGGACAAAAGAGACGCAATAAAACACCAGGTGTAAACGGGAATGTTTCTCCCTCGTCTGCTTGTGATCCGATTGACCAAAACGCATCTTAATACCAACTGTAAACAGGGCCTTACAAGTCCAGACTTGCTCAGTCCAGCCGATTAACATTCACACATTAACATTGTCGTCGTGATTGAAATATTATTTTTAAAAGGCACATTTTGGAGGTATAGTTGCCCTTTAAATAGTACTGCCCCAGTGACGAGCTGTTGTACCACTAAAGGTACAATATTTGTACTTTTTCCCTGACAGTACATCATGTAAGGTTTCTCACATCTTTATGTAACCAAGCCTCATGTTTCGTAATGATTCCGAAAGCATGCTGTGCTCGCATAGACAGATGCGGTTACCAGGCAACCGCTCTTGTAGCTGTATCAGTGTGATGCTGTAGTGGGGGGATGCTGCTCTCTGTGATGCTGATCTGCTCTCCCATTGGCTACAACTCCCTGACCAGTGGCCTGATTGGACGAGTGCGTGTCACTCAGCATCTTTGTGTCTCCCTCTCCGTGAAATGCTTTGGAGGAGGAGTCTATGCAGTAGAATAGGCAGAATGTTTACCCCTCCCTCATTCTTTTGCACAAACATCAGTATGCCTACGCACAAATCCAGCTGTCATGTGTTTACTTCTGATTTCAGGAAAACCCAACAGGAATGAATTGACCGGAAGGGTCCTCTGGGTGTAGATGCATCCTGACTGAGCCAAGAGATTCTTCTTGTGGTTTTTCTTCAGCATTTTTTGTGGAGTTCATATCCTGTAGAGTGTCATTCATCTCTTTGCATTTACCCCATGACGCTTTGCAGCAGACCTCGATGCTGATGGATGAAAAATGGATGGTGTGTTGCTCACTCCTCAAACACACACACACACACACACCTACCTTCACAGACACCTTTTGCACACACCAACTCAGCAATGGAACTGAATGAATATATCAGTATCTGAACGCGACTGCTAGCACAGCGATGTGACAGAAGGTAAGAGTGTTTTTCTATGAACGTCATGTTTTTCATTTAAATTTGCATGCTTGCATTGCTGTCTGAATGTTTACAAGCAAAAGTGAGCCATGTGATCCTCTTCAAACACCCTAAACTACATCTCAGAGGCCATTTACAGCTTTTAGACCAGAGGGAGATGTTTATATGTGGCATATCTATTCGGAATCCTCCATCCCCTCCCCTCTGCTAATCTGTTGTTTATATTGATGCAAAACAAGATTACATCTACTAATCTCAAATCTAGGCCCATTTCAGCACATCAAAACCAGATCTTTAGGTTTATCTCTGCTCCGCTCATTGAATCCGCCTCTGGAACATCTTTCTCTGGCACACATTAACACCAGTGGCATCTGTTCTAACCCCTCACCACTCACTCTTTTTTAACGCTCATCATGAAACTCCTCCTCTTTGCAGGATTGGTAGAGCTGCATCCCCGCCCTTGGTTCCGTCCCAGAATGCTGAGCCCGGTTCTCTGTTCAGACCTCGCTGCCTTGAAGCCAGAGTACACTGAGGGTACAGGCATACACACACACACCATCATACCCCACAAAGTCTCGTGGATCTACAATACCAGTCAAAAGTTGGACACGCTGATGTTTCTTGTAAAGGTTTTACTGAAATAATTAGTTTTGTAGACAAATTGTAGATAAATGTCTTTATATGACGCAGTCAACAAGTAGGAGCAACTTCAATACTGTTTCAAAGCATCCCAGGATGCGCCTTGTGACGTTTTTGAGAGAACGAGTATGCATCAGTGTTATTTTAGTATCATTGAGATACTATTATAGGTTCCCTTTTGTCCTGGGTACTCCAACGTGTCGTCGGGGAGTTCCCTGACGAATTGTGATCCCAATTCAGGAGGAATTCCCAAATTTTTTGTGATTCCCAAATTTGTCACGTAATAATAGTTAAAATTATTTTCAAATTTTCTGTTTTCATTTTAGTTTAATGTTTGGCAATTTTGTTATTTTTATTAGGTATATATACCTAATAAAAATGAAAAATAATGAAAGAAATGAAAAATATAGTCTTTATATATATATATATATATATATATATATATATAAAGATTTTATTCATTTTTATTTCACTTAGGTTTTTTTTTTTATTACATCAAGAATGAAAATTAGAAATGTTTCTTTGGCAACTACTTGAAATAAAATAATTGTAAGGGTTTTTACATTGTATTTCAGTTAACATTTATTTCAAGTTACACATTCATTTATTTTTTTATAATAACCCAGGTGTACAGAGCTGGAATCTCAACAAAGAAGCTCAGATATATAGATATAAGACAATTTTGGTTACTACATAATTTCCATATTTCCATTTGTGTTATGCATAGTAATTCATAGTTTTGATGACTTCCCCATTACTTTAAAATGTGGAAATAAGTCATAACAAAAAGTGTCCAAACTTTTGACGAGTACTGTAACAGAGACACTTTTTGTCCTTTGTACTGGTGTTTAGTGAATGTGCACACCTTGATATTAAAACTGTTTTTGGATCTGTATTCAAATACAAATATTACATTTGTTTTACTACACTAGTTTACTGCAAAGCAATGCTTGACTCAGGCAGTCTAATATTGACTGAGCAGATCTGCAGTTTTATTGACAGCACATTACACTAAATAGAGGCCTGTGGATTTATTAAAAAAATTGTCTGTTTCAGCGGATGTCATTTCTACGGTGGAGTTCAACCAGACTGGAGAGTTCTTGGCCACGGGTGATAAGGGTGGGAGGGTTGTCATCTTTCAGAGAGAACCACAGGTGAGAGATATCTCTGACAAACACACTTTTCCATTTTTGACAAACTTTGAAACCAATTGAAACTGGAAGTTGAGATGGGAGATTTTAAAGCACAAGTTGCATTTTTAAAGTCAATAGGTTTTAGTTTACGACTCTCAGAAAATAAGGTACAAAAGTTGTTTCTGGGGCAGTACCCTTTCAAAAGGTACCCCTTTGTGCCAAAAAAGTAGGGCCTAAATATTGGTACCAGAAGTATGCAGATTAGTACCTAAATGGTACATATTAAAGCATTTTTAAAGGGTACTGTCCCAGTGACAAAATTTGTACCTTTTTTTCTGAGAGTGTGTAACTCAAGGCAGGTGGTATTTTTAAAGGCGCTTTTCCACTGCATAGTACGGTACGGTTCGGTTCGGTACGTCTCACTTGTGGTGCTTTTCCACTGCATGGTACGGTACAGTACGGTTCGCTTCAGGTCGCTTTAAATGGTACCTGGTCTGTTGAGGTTCCAAGCGTACCGTACCGGTACTAAAATGTGACGTGAAACACTGCAGATCACTGATTGGTCAGACAGAATCGTCACTACCAGTGTCACTACTAGCGTCATTGGATTTGCGACACGAGACACTTTTTTAGCAGTATTTTTGTTTTGCTGCCATCAGCCTCATTTTAAACACATTTTTTCGTCTAGCAGTTAAAAACAACCACATACCGAGAATCAGGAACACCATCCCCTCGATAGTCTCCATTGTTCCTGTGTTGTGGGTTTGAAAATGTGGCGCTTTTAAGATGATGTCATGGCAGTAGAGGCGCGCGCAAATAACGATCAGTCCCACACACTTTGAAGGGGTACTACTGCAGTGGAAACGAAAAGCGATCCGGACTGTTCCGCGCCGAGTCGAAGCGTACTGCGCCGAACCGTACCGTACTATGCAGTGGAAAAGCGCCATAATTAACCTGACTACGTCAGATGCGTACTTCCGCTTCAACGAACAGAGGGCGGGCTGAGAGCCGCGTCTGCTAAACGCTGAGTTTGAGATTGTACTTTAGGCTAGGGAAATCGAAAACGACTGCGGAAATGGAGATACGGGATGTAATTCGCTCTGTTGTGGAGAATATTCCCGTCATTTGCAAACTGAAGCCCGAAACAAGAAGAATGTTTGTTAAACATTTTGAATGGAGGTGATGTTTAAGTTGGAGAGAGAGGTGATTGCGTTATGTGATTGGCTTACGGGTAACCAATGATTTTATACTTCAGACAAGCTAACTATGACACATATGGCTCAGTTCTGGCAGCGGCAAAGGTCATACGGGCCGTATCTGGCCCACAGACATCAAGCCGGTTTTAGTGAGTTGTAGCTTGCTGTGTGGCGCCCAGATGCGGCTTATTTTTACTTTGCCGCTGCAAGGACTGAGCCATATGTGCCACAGTTGGCCCAGATGAGGCCCGGATGTGTATGTTATTGCCATCTACACTCAGGTTGAGTATGTGGGCCAGAAGAATGTGGGAGATGTGGGCCACAACTGGGCCAGATGTCATGTAGATGTCATGTATTAGTAGATTTTAGAGTTTACGTAAGAATGCTTTTATGAATGATTTAAGCCAAAATTCATCCCAATACATTTTTTAATTGCATATCTTGATTACTTTTTTTTGGTTAACTTTTCACATACAATGCCCTAAAAGCTTTTGATTTCATTGGGACTTAATAATTAAATGACATTTTTACATGGAAATTATCATTATTATAATAAATAATATTTTGTATATTTTAATATTTACCTAGTTTAACCTTTTATTATAACGTTTCCTCAGATATCTTAACACGGGAAGCAGATCAATTAACAGCAAAATAATTCATTCATAATTACTTTACGCTAAAAAGTCTTTTCCTGCTACCTCTCTCTTTTAGGGCGAATATAATGTTTATAGTACATTTCAGAGTCATGAGCCTGAGTTTGATTATCTGAAAAGTTTGGAGATTGAAGAGAAAATCAATAAGATTCGTTGGCTCCCTCCACATAACCCCGCCCACTTCCTCCTCTCCACCAATGGTAACCGCTAAAACTCTTGATAACATTACATCATACAATGCCAAAACACAGTGATGAATCATTAAGAATTACACACCTTTTGCGTTTCTCGTCAGATAAGACCGTAAAGCTGTGGAAGGTGAGTGAGAGAGACAAGCGAGCAGAAGGCTACAATCTGCGAGACGAGGAAGGCAGACTGAAGGACCTCTCAACAGTCACTACTCTACAGGTGTGTGGTACTTCTCCTTTCTTCTTTTCTGTTTCTTCTCATTGCCTGATGTGAGTTTCTGCTGGTGTAGGTCCCTGTCCTGCGGCCGATGGATCTGCTGGTGGAGGCGACCCCACGCCGTGTTTTTGCTAACGCACATGCATATCACATCAACTCCATCAGTGTTAACAGCGACTGTGAGACGTACCTGTCTGCTGATGACCTGAGAATTAACCTGTGGCATCTCAGCATCACGGACCGCAGCTTCAGTATCCTCATCTTTTCAATGTGAGAGAGCTGCACAGAGATATGGCTTAAATAAACAGTGGCTTTTAGCATGTTGCAACATGGTGATCAATCTTTTTAGCAGGAGCCAGTTGCAAATTAAAGGGGTCCTATTATGCCCTTTCAAAAAGTCTTGATTTTCTTTTTGGGGTGAACTAGAATATGCTTTCATACTTGATTGTTAAAAAAACAACATAAATTTCACATATTTTACATTATAACAGCTCCTCTCTTCCCAGTCTGCCCCGAATGCAATGCGCCGTTTAGTTTC